TTTTTTCCTTCTTTTCTTCCCCCCTCATTAAGCCTTTCGGGATATCTCCATGGTATTTCCGTTTGCTTTCAGAAGATGCGACAGAAGACGACCTCGGGCGTTCTGATGCATCATATGATGGACACGTCAGTTGAATTGACTTTGCTATTGACAGCACTATTGAGTCCCGCCTGCATTTTCGTCCCTCATGCTGGTATTGTTAGTGGGCTTTGATTGAACCAGTATGCATATACAGTGTACTATTGAGGTGCACGGCAATGATGGAAACTTTGTGACAGGAATGTCAGCTTGACTCAACTCGTTTCATCATTATTTATTTGATCTCATTCCCAACAGAACCGAAACCCTAACGTGATGGCGGACAAGGACGCATCACCATCGGTACTGCGGGCAAGGTTCCAGCATTCGGTATTGGGTGGTATTACAGCATGTCTGGGCCACGGTCTAGATGCAAGTGTCAACCCAAACCAAGGAGTATTGTTCTGCGTGCCTCGGTAACGGACGTTGCGTCTCATGCCCTGTGGAATGTCACTATTCTTGTCTTGAGTGAGAGGGGTGCTACTGTATGGGAGGGATGTCCCGAGTACTATATATACATTTTTCAAGGTATCTTCTTCTGGGGAGATATATATGTAGGTATGAGTGCCCGATGGCGGTTCAATCTGATACGAAAGTAAGGCAAGGTATGGAACATATAGCAAGGATATGAGATGTATCTGTCTCCCTGCAGGAGAGATGCGTGGCTTGCTTAACCTGACCCCCTAACTCATGTTGTGGTCATCAAGACTGATGTTTGGAATTCATTCCCTTGATTCCCATCCATGGGACAAGTGTTGGTTTCCGCATTTCATTACCTGTGGTAGCTTACGGGTAATCAGGCACTAGTGGTAAGTATTCGGTACCTCGTCTCTCTTGGTGAGGCGGGAACGATTCGGAGGTAATCTTATCTTCCCCCTGACTATCCAAATGCTGCGTTACCCAGAAAAACGTCAATAGATTACCAGAGGACACCTGCTGGGTACACATTCCATGGGTAACGGTCCTCGTAATACCCTGATGGAGAACAGTATGATTATACATACGCACTGGACTCCGTACAATACATACATCCTCTAAATGATTAGGGATGTCACTCGAATATGGTCGAAACGGTGTACTGAAAGAGACAGGACCTGAATTGAAGCTCACGAGCATTCTAGTAGTGGTGTGGATGATATTGCATTGTCAATTGGGCATTCATCTGCTTTCTTTTCTTTCTTTTTTGGTTCTCTCTCCTTCTCTTTTTTACTCTATAAATGGTATGTTTATGATACCGTCACCATCAATGAGTATTGGGAGGTATTGGGAAATTGGCATACTTGGATCAGGGTGAAGCGGGATCCATGGATGAGCTTTGGATCTGAGAATCGAAATGGAATGGTTCTACAAGGGGATTGTTTTGGGGATCTGGCCAGGTACAGCTTCACCTGTATCCCTCTATCTATGTTGTTAGTCGGGCGTAGTATATTTGCATTGGAAAATCCACTTTATTTTATTTTGTTTCCTTGTATTGTATTTTTCTTTGGGCTCTCCGTCTCCCTTTGAGATCGCCGCCTTATATGTTTGACATGTCGGATTGGAATGGATGATTGTAAGAATGCAATGCTTGGCTTGTAGGAAAAGGGTGTCAGGGAAAAATATCCTCAATCATATGAATTGGTTCTGAATATATAATTATTTTTTTTTTCTTTCATGAGATTCCTATGTAGATTGTCATTGACTCTCCGTGGTGGTGGTTCAATTGGAGGAGTGAAATTAAAACAAGATCAACCAAAATTGATGTTGTTCTGAGTGGACTAATCCCTAGGAAGCGTTAGCTCCCCAAGTTGAATGAAGACAAGAGCCCCCTTTCTTTTACACCACCAACGGACTGACTCTCCACCCCAAATCACTCCGCAGGTCCAATCGTTCTCGCCTTCTCCTGTCTTCTCTCTACGCTCTTCTGTTCTCTCTTTCAGCTTCCCTTTGAGTTTTTTTTCTTTTCGATTCTTCTGTTTGTATTTTTTTTAATTAAAACCTTACATCCCGTGCACACTCCCCGTTTCCTCCAAGACTCGGTGATCTTTGAGAGCTTTTTGTCCCCTGATTGTTGAACCATCTGATCCTCTCACCCTTTTTCAGGTGTTCGGGATTCCAAAGGTACGGTGGCACTTGCCTGCGCTCCTTCCCCCAATTCTTCAACCCCCTCCCCTCTAAAAAACCACTTCCCCCTCCCCTCCCTTGGAAAGAAGAGCCTGGTTCCAGATGCTTTCCTGATCTATTACCAACCCATCGTCTGAATTTCCGTCTCTGCCAGGGTATTGTCTGCTAACCAAGAAGGTGCGACCTGCTCAGGGGAACTTCCTCATCAACGCTCGCTACCTCGACATTTTTTTTCCAACCGTCCACGCTCGCTTCCTGAACCAATCGCTTAACATTCATAATGGGTAAGCTTATCGCTACCAGCGACATCCCACTTCACCGGCCTTGCTTTCTTCCCATTCTTTCACCTGGCGGACAATCCTTCATTCGTGTACCTCCGAAGCTCTTGCGCGTGGTGACAACATCATGGCACATGCCAGACGCCGGAGTGCAGAGGGTCGCTCGCATGTAGACTCTCAACGATTCAGTGCTTCTCCGTCGTTGAAACACCATAGATCCAAAAGCCATACGTCGTGTTCGCCAACTCGGGGAACTTTGCCTACCGGAACTCAATCCGATATTACGCCAGTTACTGACTTGACTTTACCTGTTGTAGCTTCACCACCCCCCACCAACGGCTCCGCCACCCCAGCCGTGGAGTCTCCTGAGAGCAGCAAGCCCAGCTCCCCCTTTGTTGAGCGCAGCAACCCCATGGGATCAGGAAACGCACAAACTGTCAGCTCCAGCGACCCGAAGGCTGTGGCCCAGGCCGCCACCGACATGAAGAACGTGGTTCGCCGCAAGTTGACTGGCTATGTCGGTTTTGCCAACCTTCCCAACCAATGGCACCGCAAAAGTGTTCGCAAGGGATTCAACTTCAACGTGATGGTTGTCGGTGAGTGCCCCTGATGAAAGGATAATGGATGGGCGTGACTGATATGTGTTCTAGGTGAATCTGGTCTCGGAAAGTCGACTCTTGTGAACACTCTCTTCAACACCTCTCTCTACCCCCCCAAGGAGCGCACCGGCCCCAGCCACGACATCATCCCCAAGACTGTGGCCATCCAGTCGATCAGCGCAGACATTGAAGAGAACGGTGTTCGTCTTCGCCTCACCGTGGTTGACACTCCCGGATTCGGTGATTTCGTGAACAACGACGATTCGTGGCGCCCGATTGTAGAGAACATTGAGCAGAGATACGATGCCTACTTGGAAGCTGAGAACAAGGTCAACCGTACTAACATTGTTGACAACCGTATCCACGCCTGTGTCTACTTCATCCAGCCCACCGGCCACTCCCTCAAGCCTTTGGATATTGAGGTCATGCGCCGGTTGCACACCAAGGTCAACCTGATCCCTGTGATCGCCAAGGCCGATACATTGACGGACGAGGAGATTGCTCAGTTTAAGCAGAGAGTATGTCATCTGTCTCGAATGAGTTGGTCCTGACCCTATGCTAATTTTGGTCTAGATCCTTGCCGATATCCAACACCACTCTATCAAGATCTTCGAGGGCCCTCGCTACGAACTCGACGACGAAGAAACCATCGCCGAGAACCAGGAGATCATGTCGAAGGTCCCCTTCGCTGTGGTCGGTGCCAACGCTGAGGTTGCCACCGCTGACGGGCGCAAGGTCCGGGGCCGTAGCTACCCATGGGGTACCATCGAGGTCGACAACGAGGAACACTGTGACTTCGTCAAGCTGCGCCAGATGTTGATCCGCACCCACATGGAAGAGCTCAAGGAACACACCAACAACTTCCTGTACGAGGACTACCGCTCCGACAAGCTGACCCAGATGGGTGTCGCTCAGGACCCGAGCGTGTTCAAGGAAGTCAACCCAGCCGTGAAGCAGGAGGAGGAGCGTGCTCTACACGAGCAGAAGCTCGCCAAGATGGAGGCAGAGATGAAGATGGTCTTCCAACAGAAGGTGGCCGAGAAAGAGAGCAAGCTGAAACAGAGCGAAGACGAACTATACGCTCGACATCGCGAGATGAAGGATCAACTGGAACGGCAACGCCAGGAACTGGACGAGAAGAAGAGTCGCCTCGAAAGTGGTCGACCGATCGAAGAGAAGGGCAAGCGAAAGGGCTTCTCTCTTCGTTAGATAGCTGGAATTCAATGACACGGACTCCCCCGGTGATGTATGGTCGTTGGAGGCACGTTGGCGGTTCTGTGTTGGATTCCCCACGACTGTTGATTGACCGAGCGCTCTTTTCGCCTGCCCTTCTATTGCTGTGTTTATTCGATTTCCTCCACGCTCTCTCAACCTCTACTTTCTCGTATCTGCTGCCAGTAATGACTCTGTTATCTAATTGGGTGCACCGAGGCAGCGGAATGACTCGGTTGTGTTTCATTCCGTCTGTCGGACGAACTCCAGTTGGGGCCTTTGACTAGGAGAAATGTGCTGGGACACCGGAGCAGCGCTGCCGGCCTGCTCGTGTGGTCCGGCCCATGGTTTTGCAAGATGATATGCGGTGGCCCTCACGTCCTCTTTTCGCTTCTTGTTAATGTACTTTTGCCTACGCTATACCTTGTTCTCTCCTGTTTCTTATTCCCCAGTGTGGCCTAACCTCATTTTCCCTTCTTATCTTCGTGCACTTTTGTCCACTTCTACACATTTTAGTGAGCTCTCCCACCCTCCGACCATCATTTCAAGATGCTTTTCCTATTTTCCTATCTCTTACTTATTGCAGTTTATTGTGCGTTAGTTGTCAATCTCAGATGTTCTTGAAAAGTCCGACCAGGCCAGAAAGCGACGGGGAGGGTCTGTTTCTGTAGAGGACGACGGGGAGGACGTCCCTGGTAGAAAATCACTACAAGAACAAAACCAAAGAAAAACGAACTACAATCAAAGACGTAAAAGTTTAAAAAGAAAGAGAAATATATATAAACAAATGCAGTAGGGCAAGACAAGAATGAAATCTGTGGAAGAAATTCAATTCGAATCGCAGGATGAAATAACCTTAGCGTGCCTCACCGGCTACTTGCATCATGCCGAGTCAATCCGTGAGTGTTTGTCAACGTCACTGGACAAGGTTTGGTCTGCCTCAGGTTCTCAGTCAGCTACGACGACTCCCGGAGCCTGTTAAAAGTACTCACTCCTCTGTGTCGTCCGCCCAGCAGCTTCTTCCCTCCTTCCCGATTTCCGTACTAAAGAATACCTTAGTCCAGCGAAAAGGGCATCGTCAAAACCCACCCACTACGACCGCCCCCGCCCAGCCTCCCCAAAATAGTGCAGGTCCGCAGGCCTCCACCGCTCAATTCGCTCCCCTTCCAGCTTTTCTCGACCCTTCTCTGCTCTCACGTCACAGCCACTTAGCGCATTGCTATCTCTCCGCTCTCGCTCTCGCTCTCTGAGGCCTTCCTTCTCACTATCTTTACGCACTTCCCTCGTTCCCGAGTAGACCACACCTTTTCAGCTCTCATGGCTCCACCTCCCCCATCGAACTTGCCTTTGGCCGAGAGGCTGAAGGCCCTGGCTCAGACGCTACAGTATGTGCTTCGCTGGCCTTTCCCGAGCTCGCAATGTGGATACTGACCGTATGACTCTCAAATAGGTTCGCGTGGTTTGCTGGGTAGGCTTCCCTTGTGATTGTGTGCTGCCTCGGCCGGCGGCACACGGTACCCGTTTGGAGCAATTTGCGACATCCGTACACCAGATGCTGCCCTTATCGGACGACATTCGCAAGTCCAGGATGGGAGAAAACAGATCCGCTGACTGGCTTTAGGCACGTCACACTGCTGCTCTCCGTCTTCCGCTACCTCCTGTCCTACATCACCTTCAACTACTACTCGTCCTCGGCCCAGGTGTCCTACCGCTTGGCTTTCCTTTCGGCTGCTGCAACATACGGTATCGTGGTGTACAAAGGACACATCGCCCGTGGTCGTCTTCAGGGTAGCGTTCCGAACATTGTGGTGAAGCTCGCTGGTGATGAAAATGTCCAGTATCTTGGTGAGTAGAACCGCCTGGCTGTCTGACCAAACCGGCATGGGCTGACCAAACCACCAGGAATGGCGATTGTCTGGCTCTATTCCCGACAGGTCCCATTGGCCCTCCTCCCCTTCAGCGTCTACTCAATCTTCCACGTTGCGACGTACTCTCGGGCCCACCTGATCCCTACCTTGCAGCCTCCCGCCCAGGGCGCCGCCGGATCCGGGTCGCCCTCTTCTCCTGGTGCTGCCAAGCCTGCTGCCAGTCCTTTGGCAGAGACCATTGGAAGATTCGTCAAGCAGTACTATGATGCCAGCATGGATCTCGTGGCTGGGCTCGAGATGGCGCTGCTGTTCCGCCTGGCCTTGGGAGTTCTGACTTTCTCCAAGGGAAGCATCCTTCTCTTCATTATCTACGTGGCCTTCTTCCGCGCGAGATACACCCAGAGCTCGTTCGTCCAGCAGGCCGTGCGCCACTTCACCGCCCGCGTGGATGCTTCGGTTTCCCACCAGAGCACCCCCCCTGCGGTGCGCCAGGGATGGGAGACCTTCAAGGGTGTTGTTCGCCAGGCGTATGAGAGCACCGACCTGGGCCGTCTGACTTCCGGAGCTCCGGGCAAGAAGCCGCAATAAATGGCACCTTTGGCGATGAGCGATGACCGCCCGGGACGCGTGGGAAAGGCCCAATCCGATTGCGACGCATCTTAGCCGGACTTAGACCATTCGCGCAGGCCCGGGATCACAGATTGACGTGTGGGCTCTCGTTTGTAAAGTGATGAGCATATAACGAATAATGTGCCATTGGTACTAACCCGGTTTGGGTTGGGAAGTGGTTCTTCTTACGATAAGCAAAAGATTGTTTACATGCTGTTGCGGGGGAGGATGTCGATGAGGATGTTTAGTGCTTGGGGGAGAGGAGAGTCATATTATAATCTTGTATTGCCATTAAGTCATGCACATGATGGACCTCCGATGGGATGTTTTGCCCAGACGGATTCCATTGCATTCTGTATTTGCGCGAAATTATTACTGTGAGGGGAAATGAGCACTTGTTTGTTGTTGAGGCATATTATTGTGTCCTATAAGTCTAGACCGACGACCACGTTCTTGTTCGGTAGTAGTCTAGTTTGGTGGATTCTTGTGGCAATTGAAGGGACTGAGTTGTTTTTCGGTCCATTGCCATTTGTTCCTTCGGACCCGAATTAAAACTAGCGAGAGTTTATTAAGGCGGCGTGGTGTGCCTGAGGTGGAGAGTCGGCCTCGGACGCGGAGAAAGCGGAAAACCGACCAAAATTTTGGGCTGAGCGTTGACCCATCGTTTCTGTGAACTACCGACTGGGAGAGGTGCCATGTTTCATTTCTTAACCTCTCGACTTTCCTTGATTTCTGTATAGTTTAGATCTCCTTCGATTCCTCTTCTCCCCTTCCTTCTTTCCCACCGTCATCCTTCATTGGGGTGGCATCCATCCGGTAAACGTCGCCGCCGCATCCCAACCCCCCGTGGTCTGGCCCGCACCACGATTTGGTGGGTTGCGGTATTCTTGCCATGAGCTTGACCTCGCGCGTGTTTGGCCTGTTTTCCACGACAGAGACAACCGCTCTGGACTCTCCTCCGACCGCTTCGTATTCGAACACCTCCAGCACCGGCGACCATGTCTTCCATGCGACGGGCCCGATAAGGGCAGGCTCCAGCCATGTACAAACTACACCACTCGAGGACGAGGAAGAGCCTCGTCCGCCATATCTCCATGTATGTTGTGCTATCTGCCAGACGGGCAATACGGATGGTGATGTGAATGCGCAGGGTGTGCGCAGAATTCTTTTATCTCAAACTGACATGAATCTTTTCCCGTAGGCCATGCTTGCCGGAGTACCGGTGGGACATGCGGCGATATGCTCATGCATTCTCTCGATACGGTGAAGACGAGACAGCAAGGCGACCCCCATTTCCCTCCCAAATATGCCTCGATGACCTCTTCGTATGCGACGATCTATCGACAGGAAGGTATCCTACGAGGCCTCTATGGGGGTGCGGTTCCGGCATTTTTCGGCTCCTTTCCCGGCACTCTGATCTTCTTTGGTGTGTATGAGTTCACCAAGCGACGGATGATCGACGCTGGCATCAATGCCAATGTGGCATACCTGTCTGGAGGTAAGAGCGTTGTCCGGTTTCTGTCAGGATTCAGTGGCGCTGACGCAACTGCTCAGGTTTCTTTGCGGACTTGGCCGCTTCCGTTGTTTATGTCCCTTCAGAGGTTTTGAAAACGCGACTGCAACTCCAGGGACGCTATAACAACCCCCATTTCAATTCGGGATATAACTACCGCTCTACTCGCGATGCTCTCCGTACGATCGTCCGCCAGGAAGGATTCTCCGCGCTCTTCCATGGATACAGGGCGACCATCTACCGTGATCTGCCGTTTTCCGCCCTGCAATTCGCATTCTACGAACAGGAACAGCGTTTGGCGAAGGAATGGGTGGGATCCCGCGACATTGGACTTGGATTAGAGATCCTGACTGCGGCAACCGCCGGTGGAATGGCCGGTGTGATAACGTGCCCCATGGATGTGGTGAAGACCCGCATCCAGACTCAGCAGAACCCCGATATCCAGAGCTCTGCGTCTTCGTCGAAACCTGCTGCGGAACATGCGTCGATCAAAGAAAGCCCTCGACAGCATACATCGTCTCAGACTACGTCGAGTCTGCGCACGCACTCACGGCCGATCTCCACGGGGGGTGCGTCGACGTCAGTGGCCCCGCCGGGAGCGCCTCGCCTGGACACCTCCTCTTTCTTGACGGGTCTCAAGATGATCTACCAGAGGGAGGGGCTTGGCGGCTGGTTCCGCGGCGTCGGACCTCGTGGAGTGTGGACTAGCATCCAGAGTGGAACGATGCTGGTCATGTACCAATACTTGTTAAAACAGCTGGAGTCCTACGACATACTGGGGGAGATGAATCCTCTGTGATCGAACGGGCTTTATTGCATGGCACGACGGGGATGTAGTGTTGCCACGGGGCGACACTTGTAGATAATGTTGAATCATCACCACATGGGACACGATGTGGGTAGGGCGTTCTGGGACGAGGCTGTTGCATGATCTCTCACTTCTTCTATTACCACCCATTTGCTTGGATCGGTCTGGAGCATGGCAGCATTTTTCCTTTGGGGTTTGTCCTTGCCGTTTGTTCTTGGTTTTAGACTCCCTGCTCCAGACGGGCATAGATTTGTATTTCCCCTTTTCCTTTTTTTTGTTATTTAGACATGGTTAATCACGCCACGATGTATATTATTATATAAAGTATAGAGTCAAAGAAGCACTGAACTGAGGGCCAAGTTGTCTTCTCCAAAATGAGGGTTATTTTCGGTCAGGTGGAAATGTAAACAAACGGATGCGGTCAAGCGCCCCCCGACGGGCCAATCAGCGAGCGTCGGGGAGGACTGTGACCTCACTGGTGATTTGTTGCATTTGCTTTTATTATTTATTGTGATTGTTTTTCCCTCTCTTGTTCGTTTTGGTTTTCGAATCCTTTTGGTCCCCCGAAACCCTGCGCGCGCACTTTATCATCATCCCACCCTTCTCCCCCTTGCTCATAAAGTCACCACCTCCCCCCCCGTCGCATGGTCCCTTATCCCCGCGCATCATGTCTGCCGCATTGCCTTATTTACAGAAGCTGCGCAAGTCCCAACTGACGGACTGGGCGGAAGCCACTGATCTTCACGAGTAAGTCTGGTGCCGTTGTTTATCGCCCCACCACGATAACAACCCCGGCTGACCGTTGACAGCTACGAGGAGTACAATAAACCTGAACTCGCCACGCTGCTGGACCAGCATCTCCAGGCCAACCAATCCATCTTCGCCAAGGATGCGCGCCTAACGGATTACTACCGTCGCCTGTCGCAAACCCCGCGCAAGGGGTCGCCGGTCAAGAGAGACCCTCGGGTGGAAATCTCGCCGCCTGTGAAAGAGACTCCGCGGTCGGCGCCACGGTCGGCGCGTCGTAGGCAGATGCGAGTCCTGGAGGAAGAGGTGAAGGGAGAGGAGACGAAGGAGGAACCCAAAGAGGAACCTAAGGCGGAACCCAAGGAGGAGGCTGAGCAACCCCAGTATGTCCTGTATTCTTTCCGACGTCGCGCGCGCGCATGGTCAGAAGCGCCGTCGCACGCGACCGCAGTAATCATGACGACATGAACTGATCCATTTCTTGTTGCAGAGAGGAATCCGACGCGTCTCCACCACCGGTCTTCCAGACTCCTGGACCGTCGCCGCTCAACTTTCAATCGGCCTTGCCGGCATCGCCGGCCCTCATCGCTGATGCGGTGGACCGGGAGTCCGTCGCGTGGCGCAAGAAGGCGAGCGATTGGTGGGCCGGCTCAGGGGTGCCGGATGGCACGCAGTCACTGCGCTCCTTGCTCAGCAGCGTGAAGGCCGTCCAGATTCTGACATTGCTGCTCGAAGGGTGTTCCATCATTTATGAAGTTCTACCACTGCGATTCGTGTCCACCATTACGATTTGGGCGATTGAGATCTCCATCAAGGTCCCTGACGTCTTCGTCCTCGTTGACGGCGTCTTCTGGGCCCCATTCTCGCTGTGGCTGCTGACTAGCATTCTGCTGCCATTGACCGTCGCATACTTCTTCAACATCAGCCTGAACCTCGCGCCAGGCAGTGCTGCGTCTCATGCGCGTCGCAGCCGCGCATCGCCTGCGAACTTCGATCCGCTCAGCTTCAACATTGCCAAGGCGGGGCTCGCATACCTGGTGTATGCCCGGCAGTTCAACTTCTTCAATCTGTACAGCCAATTTTCGATCGCCCGGGTGAACGCCGCGGTCCCCGGTCAATGGGCTGGCTTGGTGACCGGGTCTGCGATTGGGGTGATCGGCACTCTGTACGAGGCGATCCTGCGGAAGTAAATACGTGGTGTATATACGTGAATGTGTTGTGGCAGAGCCACTGGTTGTAACGCAGATTGATTGAGTAGGACCTGCTCCGTACAAGAGAAAAGGCGTGCGAGTGCCTGTCGGAGGGGGTTGTGAGAAGGGTTTCTCTCGCCTAGAAGGTCTATTTTCTGGATAATCGTTGGATTCCATGTGTGCAGTGCGATGGTGCTTCGGTCTTGTTCTAATGTTGAGTTATCTTCGGTTTCTCTCCTTTCTCGGGGGTATCTGGCGTGAGAATGGTGTGGCGCGTTGATTGTTATGAATTGATCTGATCTGATCTGATACTTCGCGGGGGGCGTTAGCTTGGGTTTCCTGGATGTACTATCGTGAAACCGATATAGGATGTTCCAATACAGATCCTTATTCATCGTACAGTAGCTGTTGGTATCTATCTAGGTATTGTATGCTTCTATAACCCCAACCCCAAACGATACACTATATAAAAAGAAAGACACAGACAGAGACAGAGAAGACTACCTCGTCCTCTTCAACCTCTCCGCCAACTCCACCGTAAAAAGCACCGGCACCAAGCTCTCCACCGTAACCACCTCGCTCCGAATATGATTACTCGTACTCAACTGCCCCCCAATCGCCGTCCTCCAATCCACCACATCCCACTGGAACCCACTCGTCGTGATCCTCGCCGGCCCCGAGAGCGGTATAATCCCCACATTCTCCTCAAGCAGATCCTCTCCTTGTTCCGCAGGAGATATTCCCGGCCGATTCGTCCCAGGCGTGCGAATGGTATTCACCCCCGGCCGCAGGATAAACGTAATACTCTCCTCGGAGATGAGATACAGATTCCCTATCTTCCCTGTCCCTTCTTGATTGGACGTAGAAGAAGAGCTGTAAGTTTGAGTCATGGAGTACAGATGGTGGATTTGCGAGAAAGCTTGGTCGACACGGCCGCCCAGTCCGCCGAGGATGAGGACGTCTAGCTCGCTCCCTCTTCCTCCTTCTTCATTCTGTTCTTCTGGTTTCGATACTGGAGATGAAGAGGAGATGAATTCCCCTACATGCGTACGCAGATAATCCAAACACTTTGTGAAATCCGTCGAATATTGATCTTCGTCTTCGATAATGCGAACTCCTAGATTGGCGTAGTGGGTTCTTGTGTCGGGGGTTATGGAGTCTAGATCACCGATTATGAGATCGGGGAGCTATTTCTTTTCATTAGAATATATGCCTATGCCTATATATGTATCATATCATATCATAAGTGGGACAAGGAAGGGAAGGAAAGAGAGCGTACATCTGTTGATTCCCGGTCGTGCGCTTTCATCATCGAGTAGAAGCGGTTTGCGCCGCCGTCCGCGCAGAGCGTTATCTTTGCTTTAATTTCATTTCTTTAGTCTTCATGCTGTAATGTGCTGGGTTTGGTATGTATTGTATCAATATATGGTCCACAACCACATCCATATTTAACACATGTAGAAGATTCGTAGAATATATGTACAGTAGAACATACCATGTCTCTTCAAAACGCGAAACGCGCGCTCATTGATTGGCTGGTTGAGGATCAACAGCGCAAAGGGGTTTGGAGTGTGATCATCACGGAAGAACTGGGTGGGATCCCACTCCATTCTGTGTCTTGGGTCGTAGTTTAGTTTCGTCCTTTGGGTTATGGTAGGGTCGAGGGGGGTCAACGTAGGGAGGGGCATTAAAATCAGTTGATTTTATCTTATCGGCGATGTGATGGAGAGTGGGGACGTATGTGGTGGTGCTGGGCGGCCAATCGGGTGGGGCGGGGGGATTTATGGATTATGGATGTACCGATGTATGATGTATATTATTTTGGGGAATGTTATGGTTTATTTTAAGGGTTGGCTTCGGATTTGGGTTTGGGTATGTACTGGTTGTGGTATGGGTTGGATATTGATACTATACTACCAAGATAATATACAAATGTAAAGTACTGGAAACAATGTATGACTACTGGAGACATCTTGGCTAAATTGTCTCTTATTCCATCTGGTAAGAATATGAAATATTATAGAATATTGAAAAATATACTTCAAAAGCTCGACTGTGCATATACTAATAGTCGATGATTGGCCCAGTAGACTTTTAGAACAGTATATGGACGGCCCTCTCAGTTTAAAAGAACCTCCTCGTATGACACTGTACACAGATGGCGAAGATATGGAGTAGACTGTTTCATACCCTCAGACCAATCCATATCACCAATACAGATTCCGTCCACATAAGCAAAACCTACCAACTTATAGTATACTTGGTCACTATTATCGTCTATGCCATAGCCTTGTCGCAGTACAACGGGAATGCCGAGCTGATAAACGCCAACGATCACCTGGTCGTCCTCTTCCACATTTTGTTCACTGAGGCCAAAGCCGATAGAGGATGTATGATGGATAGTAAACACTTTGATGCTATATAGTCTTGGCACCAGATCTCTCAGAAATCCAAACCCCGCTGCGGCTAACGTCTCCAGGATTGTGTCAGTATCTTGGTGGATCAAGTCTAATGTCTGGAATACGGCGCATAGCCTTGTCAAGAAAAATCTCGGGCAGTCGATATTAAATGCGGCATGGCTATATTCGGAAAAAACACCGCATGCTCGAAGGAATCTGTGTGGGATGTTCTCAGGCTCCCAGACATTATCCCACACATGGTGCCCATCGCCGTGTATTTTAATTACCCCCTTCATTTGGGCCAGGACGCTCTTCACGTCGGATGCGAACTGAAACATTGGTCTGCATTTTCCAATCAGACGCCCTGATATTCGTAGGGCAGAAGGATCTTCCGTGACAGGATCGCACCGTGGCTGCCAGATTGGTTGGATATCACGGCAGGGTGAAAGCCTTCTAGAGTAAGAAGCCCATTCATTGGCCGTGGACACCTTAACTGTCGTTGTGAGATCCGGCACCCAAGAAGGAATCGAAACGTTCTCCAGCCGATCCTTCCGCAGGCAGAACCGATCTAGCATAACGATATTTTCGAATCTCTCTTGCAGAAGGTGCTTTGCTGTTTCGAAAATAATTTGGCACAGAGGCTTGTTATAATCCGGCGGATATTCCCTCTGTAATGATGGAAGAAGACCATATAAGGCATATATTTTGTCTTTGGGATTTTGACACTTGCGGCTGCTTGTTTCCTCCAGGAGGCTTAGCAACGATATCTCGTCCTTCTCCGAGGTCCACGTATGGCTGGAGATTATAAAATCTCGTCTGGATGCCTCCTCAGACAGCTCTTTCCTGTGTGCTTTCATCTCTACGTAGTGGTCTTCTAATCGCATCCGTCTCCCGGTTATAACCTTAGAATGCATCTTAAAAAATTGGTCTGTTGCTTCGTAGCATGTCCAAAAACGATCGAACTCAGTTTTGGCTGGGAATTCTACATCGCCACATATGCAGATTGGTGGCTTCCTTCGTGACAATCGATATTCTTGAAATGTCCACATTCGCGTCCAGTACTCCGCGAGCCAAAAATGGTGATTAAAATCGAGAATGTTCCCAAGAGAGACAGAAAAGCGCTTTTCATACCGCACTGATATCCGGCATAGAACGCCTTTTATCCACCAGCATGCGCCTTTCCATTTCCGACTCTCCATGTCGGACATCTTCCGCCACTTCATGGCATCTGCCGTATTGTCACAGAGGTTATCCAAGCTGATGATGGCGAGCACAGATGTAGCATTGGCATATATTGCACTCATCAAGGGAACCTGGGTATTCTTCTCTACTACATCGTCTTGATTAATGCAGACAAAGTCGATCCATAAAACACGTCGCTTCGTGCGGTGGCGGAGTCTTTGCAAGATTCGGCGGACATTCTTTGGGACCGGGATTGTACGGCCGTCCAGTAGGATCTCATTCATCTCTCGAGTGTCACCCCATACATACGAGATGGCCTCATATTCAGGGAAAGTGTCCAATGATGCAACCCGCAGGGAACATCTAATAGGAGCTTTAGACATCCCAGCGGGTAAAATTGTTAAAAGCCTGATGTCCCTCCTAGCGCAATCGAGAGGATAGTCGTGTAGATGGTCTGCCATTTGGACTGGTATGAGATCACGGTGGGAATGTGAGGATTGTTTGAAGCCATTAGGAGTCTCTGTCACCCTCAAAAGGAGGTTGACACGTCAGTTGCGATCCCACAGCCTTACCGGTGGCGGTGCAGCCAATAGAAGTAGAAGCCGAGGGGGTTCATGTTTGCTTTTTCCTCTGTATATGTTCTTGAACTACGGAGTACCGGCTACTAGGAAAAGTGCTTGTATCTCCACCACACAGCGATCAACCTCTTCCCACGGTTTGAAGAAATGTTTAGCCACCCATAGTTCGTGACTAGTTTGGCTATAGTGTGAAATGTAGCTGGTCCAACAATCTCTGATTTCAGTGAATAGCTTTTATCGTTCTACCAAAAATATCCATACGGCTTCAATCAAGCCTCGGGCGTGAGCCCTAAACCTTACGCTACAGACTAGTTAGTTCATATCTGCGTTTGCTTGTCGTGTGTCAATTCTACTAAAATAAACTCTGTACAAAGCCTTACTGACTCAAAGTTTGTGTTTAAAACCCATAATTCAAAATCTTGCTCATGCGTCTGGATGTCAGCAGGCAAATACTTCAACGTCAATGGGACGCATCGTTGCAGTCGTTGCTCTGCATATATTCCTATAAACACCGATTTGAAATCAGCACTAAAAATGTAAGGATCGGAAACGGTGTTCGCTGAAATAGGACGATGCTTAGCAGCTTAACGAGATCCAACTCCACGCCCTATGAGAAGTAATCAGAGACCAACACAAAAGAGACCAGAAACACTTACGTACTTCAATCATTTGTACGAGATGATTTCAAAATTAGACGTGGATGTTGCTAGCAAGTCTTCAACGCTCCAACTAGGAATGGAATTAGCCGGCATTAGTATAAACGACTTCCCCGCAGGAATTTATCCGTGACTTGCCCAATGGTGGAGAAATCAAATGAAGGAGGAACATGTAGTCCGCAATGTGAAACAAGACCGAGGAAGAGTTAAAAGTGCCTGGTGGCCATCTTTCCGTATCACGATTACCCTTCATACCTCGAATTGTGTGGCTAAGACTAGAAATATGCGGTCCCTGGTTTTACTCGGGATGGGCTCCCTTGCTACGGCGACTTCCTTGTGGTCGTCGAAGGCCGCGTCCTGGGATACGACTAACGAGGCATTTGTTCTGGGGAATGGCAAGCTGGGGGGTAGGTCTATTTCTTTAATTTCTAAAAATTCCCTACTAACCCAGACAGTGATGTCGTTCGGAGAGCCGGGGGCGGAAAAGCTCAATCTCAACCACGACGAGCTTTGGGACGGTGGCCCCTTTGAAATCGATGTGAGTTCTGCTGAAGTATGATGGATTGTATGCGTTCATAACTGAACGTGCCAGGAATATCGGGGTGGTAATCCGAATTCTAGTATGACGGAGATCCTATCCGATATTCGAGACGAGATCTGGAAGAAAGGAACCGGCAGTGAGTTTTACTCCAAGGTCTGCGTCAATATATACCTGACGTTTTTAGACGATACACGGCTGCACGGAGACACAGACGGCTATGGATCCTTCCATTCATTAGCCAATCTTACCATTGCGATAGATGGAGTTGACAACGTAAGCAACTATAGTCGGTCCCTAGATCTCGGCACCGGTATCCATACGACAACCTACTCGACTAGTAAGGGAATGTATACTACAGACGTCTACTGTAGCTACCCTGCTCAAGTTTGCATCTATAAGTTGATCTCGACGGCAGCTTTATCGAACGTTACAATCTACTTCGACCAACTCGTCGAGCAAAGCTCACTCTGGAATGCCAGCTGCGACTCGGACTTCGCCCGTCTCCGGGGCGTCACACAGGAAGGGCCTCCGCGTGGAATGACATACGATACCATTGCGCGAACCTCTATCCCTGGTAGCTGTGACAGTTCAACAGGGAAGTTGGCCATTAGCGCCAGAAACAGCTCTTCGCTGACAATTGTAATCGGCGCCGGAACGGACTTCGACGCTACTAAGGGAACTGCGGCGGCCGGTTATACTTTCAAGGGGGAGGATCCAGCTGAATATGTCGAGAAGATCACATCCGCAGCAATTTCACAGTCAGAATCAAAACTCCGTACCGCTCACATTGAGGACTACAGCCCCTTGATGGGTGCTTTTACATTGACTCTGCCGGATACCCAAGACTCCACGGGCACAGAGCTCTCCACACTTATAACCAACTACAACGCCAATAAGACAGCTGGAGACCCTTACTTGGAGAAGCTACTTTTCGATTATGGTCGCCACTTGTTTATCTCATCATCCCGCGAGAACAGTCTTCCTCCCAACCTCCAGGGGGTCTGGAGCCCCACGAAGAATGCAGCCTGGAGCGGCGATTACCATGCAAACATCAATCTGCAAATGAATCTTTGGGGAGCCGAGGCGACAGGACTAGGCGACTTGTCAATCGCTGTCTTCAATTACATGGAACAGAACTGGATGCCGCGCGGTGCTGAAACGGCCGAGCTGCTTTATGGCGGTTCTGGCTGGGTAACTCACGACGAGATGAACATCTTCGGACATACTGGGTGAGTGAGGGCATTTCTTGAAACTTTGTCTCAGAGTACTGATAAACCAGGATGAAAACCTATCAAACCTCAGCGAATTATCCGGCCGCGCCGGCATGGATGATGCAGCATGTCTGGGACCGCTACGACTACTCGCGCGACAAGACGTGGTTCGTTGAACAGGGTTGGCCATTACTGAAAGGCGTCGCCGAGTTCTGGGTCTCTCAACTGCAGCTTGACAAGTTCAGCAACGACAGTTCTCTCGTTGTTAACCCGTGTACATCTCCCGAACAAGGACCGACCACGTTCGGCTGCACCCACTGGCAACAGCTCATTCACCAGGTATACGAGAACACAATCCAAGGCGCAGAGATCGTCGAGGAAATCGACTCCACCCTTGTAAAAGACATCAAGAACCAACTTACCCGCCTCGACAAAGGCCTTCACATCGGCACCTGGGGCCAAATCAAGGAATGGAAACTGCCCGACAGCTACGGCTACGAAAAAGAGGGCAACGAGCATCGCCATCTCTCTCATCTTGTCGGCTGGTTCCCGGGATGGTCTCTATCCTCGTACTTCAACGGCTACACCAACGCTACGATCCAATCCGCCGTCAATACCTCCCTTATCAGCCGTGGCGTGGGCTTATACACCAACGCCGGCTGGGAGAAAGTATGGCGGTCCGCTTGCTGGGCGCGCCTCAATAACACGGAACGAGCTCACTACGAACTCCGCTTGACCATTGACCAGAATATCGGCCAGAGTGGCTGTCCCTTTATAGTGGTGGCGATACGCCGTCTGGTGCCTTTCAGATCGATGCTAATTTCGGGTTTCTTGGTGCTGTGCTTAGTATGCTGGTCGTTGATATGCCGCTTGATAGTGTCCATTCTGAGGATGATATTCGAACGGTTGTTCTGGGTCCGGCTATCCCTGCTGCGTGGGCTGGTGGTAGTGTTGAGGGGCTTCGTTTACGTGGAGGTGGGAGCGTTGACTTCTCTTGGGATGATAACGGGCTGGTGGACAAGGCGACTGCGAAGGGGATTTCAGATAATGTTCGTATTGTTAATGTTGAGGGGAGTGTGCTTGTCTGATTTGAACATACTCCCCAGGCATAAATTAGGGTTAACTATAGGACTGGGACGGTAGGTACGAGTCTGCCAAGTGCCACAATGCCAATCTAGAGATGAGGTGACAACACTATCAATCGAGCTTGATCGATAACCCAATATACTAGAACCTATCATGGTCAAGCCTGTCAGTCACCATGCCTTTTAGCCCGCCCCACTTGTACCCACCTCATACTATGTTCATGATGTTCTGTCTTGAATGTGGTATGTGACTTGCGCAGTCAATTAGTCGAAGCCTTGCACGGAGCTAATTTTCTCCGAGTGGCTTTGATTGAATCAATCATTAGAGCTATTTCATTGGCTGTTCGGATCGATTTCGGATTTACTCATACTCCGTCCCAGCCACAGAGGCAGGAGCATCCATCATTGAACGAGAAAGTAGATGTACATACGTGCATACATCCATACTACTAACTTCTCCTAGGAGGTAGTATGCCCGGCATTCCCAAATTGGCCGCCATGTGACGTGGAAAAATATTTGAGCGACTCTCTTGATCAGCTGATATATTACTACCGCCCCGCTTCGACGAGGGTCGACCGAACACGACTCCATTTGGCGAACTGTGGTCAAGCAAATGGATAGCAGCAGCTCACCAAATTACAAAGAGCTCTTTTTGAGGGCTGAGGCGGAACGCCAGCGGGAAGCAGAGCTAAGGAAGCAAGCAGAGGAACAAATACGACAAACGACCTTTGCAGAGCTTATTCAATACTGTCACGACTATTTTTCTCGACCTTTGAGAGCCGGAACCCCGTCTCGTTCTACAACAGGGACGATACCACCGCCTAAGGGGAAATGCTGTCCGCTGCAGCTTCAGCCTTGGGCTGACTGCCTAGCCAGGCAGCAAGAAGTCTATCACTCTGTTTGCACCTATTTAGTACCATCAGGACAGCCTGCTGCACAACTATTCCCGTCGCGCAATTTCTTGGAGGGTATTGGAGAGGAGTTTAGGAATAGGGCTATAAGCAGTGAGCAGGATCTGGAAACCTATGAGAGATTTGGGGTAGAGAATTATGTTCGTGATATTATTTTGGAGCTCTGCAAGATACCTGCTGCTCGAGAGGAATTCCACTTAGGCGATGGAGTCCGCTTCGACAATCACGCCAACGCTCTTAGTGTGGATAAAACTGACCAGTTTCAAACTGATAAACCGCCAAGTTTCCGACGTTCCCGACCGGATCAGTATTGTATCCACCGTGTTGACAGCGACAAGAATTCAATCCTAACGACAGTTGAGTACAAGCCTCCCCATAAGCTATCTGTTGAGACTCTTCGAAAGGGATTGCGGCCGATGAAGTTCTGGGATGAGATAGTTAGACCGGATTCTATTCCTACGGAGGAGAGCAAGAAGCTGGACTATAACGCAGCCTTGCTAACCGGCTCAGCTGTGGTCCAGGAGTATCATGTCATGCTCCAGGAAGGGCTCGAATATTCGTACCTGACTAATGGGCTTGCATTGGTCCTGCTGTGGGTCCCCTATAACAACCCAAGCATCTTGTACTACCATCTCTGTGAGCCCAACAGGGAAGTGGACGAGAAGAGTAACTTGGATATTCTGCAGCGGCCGCTAACAGCCGTCGCCCACGTATTGTGTTTATGCCTTATGAGTTTCCGCTCACGATACCGTGACCAGGAGTGGCGAAATAATGCACAGAAGGTGCCAAAGTGGAAGACAAGTTTCGATCATACGCGTTCCCAGATCCCTGTGTCGGAATTGCGACAGAACTCACCGAACTCGGAACACGCGTCATCAAAGTCTACAAGCTCCGAACATACCTCATCAGAATACCTGCCGTCGTCGTCTCCTCCTCCGTCACCCGCCCGGTCTCGAGCTCGCTGTGCGCCGCCGGATGTCATACCGCACTACGATTCTGCGGATTCTGACGCAGATCAAGCTCCAGGAGGACGGAAGCGTGGTTTCAGTCAAGTCACATCATCTCCTTCCTCTCCATCTGCCCAACGATCGGCACGCCAGGCAAGATCTCGACATACTCAGAGCAGCGGTCAAGGCCAGCAGCATGTCGCAGAGTTTTGCACCCAGAAATGTCTACGTAGCCTGCAGCAGGGTGGCCAGCTAGATGATAATTGCCCAAATGTCATGCTCCACCGACAGGGAGGGAACGGCAGCCAACATCCCATCGATGCTGCCACGCTGATCCAGCAGCTGAAACATCAATTAGATGAAAATATCGACCGTGACTGTACCCCTCTGGGGGGCTGTGGCGCATCGGGAGTACCATTTAAGGTCACCTGCACTGTGTATGGATATACTGTGATCGGTAAAGGAACGACTGTTGAACGTTGGGACGAGGTTAAACGGGAAAGAGAGGTGTATCGTGTACTTCAGCAGGTACAGGGATCTGCGGTTCCAGTATTTCTGGGAACAATCGACTTGGCTAAATTCTACTTCGTACATGGAGCCGGCGAGATCCGCCACATGCTGATCATGGCCTGGGGTGGGAATCCCATACGCACGATAGAGCATAATAAGACGATCGCACATGAGATTAAGAGGTCTAAGAAGAAGATCCGTTCCCTAGGAGTTTTGCACCACGACCTCCGGCCAGACAATATTCTGTGGAACGCTGAGCTCGGACGGGCCCTGATCATTGACTTTCATTGCTCCGAACTAAATTACCGACCTATGAAAAGGCGGGCGAGGTTGCGTGGGAAGCATCCGTGTGGAGCAGAGGCGCGCGAGCCAAAACGACTTCGTGCAGTATAAATGAGGCCATGCGAGAACTACAATCTGTTATAACCGGAGGAACCTCTTGGATGATATTGCAAGTCCTACCTATTTCGACAAGAAGCATTGTGAACTCATCCGAGCACTGGAAATATATAGACACCGTACTGAAGGAGGAGCTTAGGTCTATCTCTATAGATATCCTAAATATTTACGAGGTCATGTCAGGTAAGCGATAGTCTATTGTATTGTTAGGTGACTGAATGGTGGTTGGCTAGCGAGCGCGCAAGAGAAGGAAGTATTAACTAGGATACCCATTTTAAAGCATTTGTATTTTATGAAGGTCAGTGCCTGATACTCCTTCGAAAAGTATATAACCGAGTGATTCCAAACTGTACAGGTTCACCTAATAGACTATAGCTTAACTCTAGAGAAGAAATTAACGGATTTTTTATCTAAACAATCAGTTGTTAGGAATTCCTTAACTGCCGTGACAGAGTCTACTTTAGATAATTTACAATACTATGTAATATACATAAAATCCTGTAGAATCTAGAGACCAGCACTATTAATACCCCGTAGTATTAGAGTAATTGGGATAGTATACTCTAAATGTTCTTTCTACCTGCTGCAAGTGTATAATACTATGAAGCAAAACGCTAGAACAAACCCGTTATGCATGCTCCTATATTCAACCCTAGAGATATATAAAGCAAGCCATCTGGAATATGCAAGGAGTATATAGTCATACAGACAGGATTGGGGAATAGTATGAATTCGTTATGATTATAAGCAGAGATTGACGAACATAAGAGAGATAGATGAAGAAGGCAGGACCGGATCGAATCGCAGAACTAAGTAGATTCACCAGCGTCCTGAACCCTAACCAGGGCAGATCCTCGTAAAGCTTCCACATCTGTTTCATTTGGAGATTTGCAAGTTATGATAATATCCGCTTTTCCGAGCATATTCGGCAAGTCTTTTGAAAAGCAATTTGGATCCGGGCGGTACCCTTCAATCCGAATATCCTTAGGTGTATAGGGACAATGAGAGGGAAGGTTGCCATACTGAGCAAGGTCCGTGAAAATACATTGGTACTTTTCCACATAATCGCAAAGATTATCTGTTTGCTCATAGATTTCCTGCCAGTCACCATCATAAAATTGGTAGCCCAAGATATGCACATCGCATTGATCAATATCTTGACGTATCCTAAAGGTGACATCGGCGACTTGGTCGTCGTTGTTATCTCTGTGCAAATGTTACTATAAGGTTCAGTTTACATCAGATCTGTTGCAAACTCACAACGTTACATCATAACGTATGTTAGCAAAGTAATCTGGATGTCCCGAGATGTCCAGCTCCTCCAAAACGACGTCAAATGGACGATCCTGTCCCCAGGCAGAATGTGCGAGGAAGAGTGAAAGCCATAGAAGCCAGGCTGTATTGAGAAATTTATCCATGACTACTCGTAGATCAAAGTTAAACGCAAGATGTCGAAGACTTTCTCTATTTGTGTTTAAGAAAAATGACTTCAGTGACAATCTAGAACCAAAGGTGCCGGAGTGAGGTGAATATATACCCTCAGACTAGAATAAATCTATAGTAGGAACCATTCCGAGATAGGGCTACTCAGTCAAATAGTTCCAAATTAACTCCTAGATAGGAACAGCCATGATGTCATAGCTGAAAGATCTGCGAGGACGATACTTTAGGATATCGCCAATCAACATGATAGGGGAATAGAAGGTCAATGCCAAGAGTATTCTGATATAGTGATGTACTATTGCTTTCTGAATTTACATACAAGGACATCAACCGGGGGCGGATCTGCAGTCTCCAGAGTTCAAAACGGAGGCGTCAAAAGCAAACATAGATTATTGGGTCAATTCCTAGATCAGATGCTCCTGCACCCGAATCCATATGACTCCAAGTTTGAACATATCCATTATTGCACCACGAGGCCATACCTTGCTTCTCTGGCCCATGTCTTTATTTTAGTCATCATCTCGATTTGGATAAAATCGTTGACATCCCACTTTCGTTGCACATCCAACGCAGAGGCACGATGTCCAAGCGCTATGAAGACGCCCTGAATGTTTACCCCGATTCTCTACGGTTCGTTAAGCAGCTCAAAGAATCGGAGGCTTCCTCAATATTTGAAATAGAGATTCAAGATAAACGCTATGCGATGAAAGTGGTGAGTAGCGTCAGGCCATGTCCAGAATTCCCCTAATTTTGAAGTTTCATGACAACGGTGACCCTGGATTTGCCAAAAATGGCCGTGGACTTGAACCGTTTTCGCTACGAATTGAACGCTTACAGGAACCTCTCTTCGTTTGGCGTATGCGAGCGTAAACTGGTTCCGTATTATTATGGCTATATTGATCGACTTGATCCAGCAAGTTTCCAGCCGCATCTTGATGGTTTCACGAATGACATTCACCACCCAAGGGCTATTTTGCTCGAGTATTTGCAAGATATAAAAAAAGCTCAACTGTGTAAAATACTCGGATGAGCGCATTCAAGCGGCGATCAACGGGCTTAGGGAAATCCACCGCTCTTTAATTCACCACCACGATATCTATCCAAAGAATATCCTCATTATTCGTGGACAACCAGAAAGAGCTATTTGGATAGATTTCGATATCGCGATAACTTCTCCAAATAAAGAGTCCATAGGTCACCTCGAAAAGGAAATTTGCAAGGAGGAAATCCAGCTTCTCAAAAGCTTTGGAAACCTTCTGGTTTGTTAAATCTTATACTCGCTTTCAGCAAGGTCTAACAGATGTTTAGCGAGAGGATCAAAGGCAGGGTCTTCCCCCAAATACGAAATACTACTAGTCGGGCTCCTCTATCAACCCCCCGAAACGATATGCTTTGTCGCTGTATCGGATGCGAAGGACAATTAATGTTGAGATCCTCATCTATTTTACTACAATCCGTTTATCCAACGCCGTTCAAACCTAAGAACAAGAAATATTGCCAGCGACTTTCTGTTTAGTGGTATTGACCTAAGGAGACTGTCCGAGAGAACACTTTGGGCAAGACCCAGGTAGAGAGGTATTATTTCTCTAATTTCCTTACTCACTCCCTATTCTTGCCTGTCTTCATTTGCTCCAGATTCTCATACTTATTCCCATTAATCGTGCATCCCCATGAATAATTTGCGTGAGATCGAGTGGATCCCTGTACCTGCAAGCAATTGATTGCCCAATAAAATGCATGCCTAGCAGAGTACAATAGCTACAACCGCATATTAATCCGTAACGCGCTGGTCGTGGATTGGTAGAACACTTAGGACACGCGTATGGAATGATAAGGCTATTTACCTGATCTGATATGACCTTATCCGGGTTTCGGGTCGGGGTTGACCTTAAACCCCAATATCTGGAGCGGGGTCCAGCGGGGAACCCTTACCACTCCAATCGTGATATATATTAGATGCTACTCCAGGATTAATCCTAAATCACTCCTATGCACCGGCTTAATACTTAGGGAGCACTCGGCCCACATCTGCCTTGCCGCACACTCGCGGATAACTTCCTGAGAGATCAAACAGTGACTACTAGCTTTCTTGATCATACATCGCCACAATGGCCGCTTCCGCGAATGCTTCAAGATGTACCTTGGAAAAGGCACAAGAGTTGCTTAGTTGCGCCGAAAAAACCTTCATCGAACAAAATCCAAACTCCAAGGCTCAGCATAAGCTGGCTAGTGAAGTGTTACCAGGTGGTAATACTCGCTCAGTACTCCACACCAACCCCTTCCCAATCTGTATGGAACGAGGCGAAGGCAATAGATTGGTAGATGTAGACGGACACGAGTAGGTATCTGCATTATCTTTGCCATTTTGAGGCTAACTTCTCCACTCTCAGATACCTGGATCTGGTTGCAGAAATGACAGCCGGCCTATATGGCCATACAAATCCGATCATCCGAGACACCATTGTCTCTACGGTTACGAAGATAGGGTTGAATCTAGGCGCGACGACTACCACAGAGTCCCGGTTTGCAGAGGCGATTCGTCAGCGAATCCCGTCCATAGAACAATTACGTTTCTGCAACTCTGGCACAGAGGCAAACCTGCATGCGCTGAGTATTGCTCGCGGTGTGACCGGAAAATCTAAAGTCATTGTGTTCAACGGCGGTTATCATGGCGGTGTTCTCACGTTCCCACATGGGGTCGCTGAGAACAATGTTGACAAGGAAGATTGGATTGTCGGCAAATACAATGATGTGGAAGGAACCCGCAAACTCATTTCCGAAAACAGAGACATAGCCGCAGCCGTGCTTGTCGAGGGCATGCAAGGCGCCGGGGGGTGTATACCAGGCACCGCGGAATTCCTACACACAATTCAGAATGAGGCTAGGGCAAACGGGATGGTATTTATTCTCGATGAGGTTATTACTTCTCGACTTGCGCCGGGCGGACTTCAGTCTGTCGTCCGAAGTCCCTATGATGGCGCAGCGTTGAAACCTGATATGACCACTTTAGGGAAATGGATTGCCGGGGGAATGACTATTGGCGCCTTTGGGGGTCGTAAGGATCTTCTCGCGGCGTATGACCCACGGCCTGCGTCAGATAAACCGGGGAAGAAGGTCCAAATTAGCCATTCGGGAACTTTCAATAATAACACCCTAGCTATGAATGTGGGGTTGGCGGCCCTGGAACATATCTATACGCCGGAGACTTGCATAGAACTCAACAATATGGGGGACTGGCTCCGTCGGCTTTTGCAAGAGCGCTGCCGAGGTACTAAAATGACAGTCACCGGGCTAGGGGCAGTGTGTAACATTCATTTTACGTCGCACATCGACAAAGCAGGAATCGCCTCTGTGGATGATTTGGTAACAGAGTCGAACGGGGTTGAATCGATCTTGAAAGACTTGTTCTGGTACTATGCTGTCCGGAAAGGCTACTGGATGACCAGACGTGGCATGCTGAGCTTGATCTTAGGAACTAGCAAGGCGGATCTCCAAGGTTTTCTCGATGTGGTGGAGGCCTTTGTTCAGGAGCATCGGGATCTTCTTACATAGTTTTTCGAAGACTAGTCTGTTTAATCTTTGTTATTTCCAGTACCTGACTCCAAATAGCATGCTTGGTGGGCCTTTTTTAGTATCAATGACATCTACTGTAAGGACTGATGAGCTGGTGTTCTCCTAGTAGTGCTTTGTGTATAATTGGACACTATATATGGTAACCGATGTTGCTACACTGGCTATTGAATGACTTAGGTCACACATGTTTTACCCTCATCCATGTGGTAGTGTATGATACCATGCTTATAGTGAATTATATCAAGAGATTTGCTTACGTCCTATCTCACTTTTTCAATGTCCCAAACTTTCCCTTCAAGGGACAGCGCAGAAACACCAGCAAGAAACCGGCAAATGTCTAACTTGACTGAAACGAAAATACAAAGAACACACCATCCCTAGCATATAAAAGTTTCCATTTGAAACTCGTTGAGATTTCACTTCATTCTCTACTTGTGAGATAGTATATGTTGTTACTTCACTGCTCCGAAGACACCCAGGAGATCACTTACCACACCACTAACAAATCCAATAACTCCATACATCTGATCATAGTAAGAAAACCTCCATATACTACCTAAGCGAAAGCCCCACCTAACATATCCCAGCTACAATCATGTGCAGAAACCTATACAAGAAGTACAACTGCTGCAATCATATGCTCACCGATGTGATACTCTGTACCAACCGACCTTTCTGCGCGCGGTCTGAAGATTGGGAATATCCTTCCCAGTTGGAATGTCCTCGCTGCTATGTATTATTATCGTCAACATCGACATCAACTCCTCGGATCTCTGATACTCCCTGGAGCCATGAGGAACGGACGTTTGTTGAGATTCTGAGAGAGGCTAGGACTTCGCGGTGGTATGGGGTTTGATAGATGCTTTTGATGTATGTAGATTACAGAGTACAATCAGATCTTCTTTAACGATTCCATCACAATATTGATACTAAGAACTGCGATACCCATCGAAATTGTGTGACGCGCTCATAATAACGCAAAGATCTAAAAAACCTTAATATACGTAGGAACAGAGTTCAGAATCGAATTCTTCTTTCATCTCTTGCCACTTTCTGGCTGCACAGAGCCTCGTGGGATTGTTTGGCATGCTGTTGTCGGGAAACACTTGGCGGAGTGGGTGCAATGTATGCTTCTGGCTGGGTGAAAGCTACCATAGGAAGACTCCTGGGCAGACAAGGGCATGTTTTGTCTCGAAGTGCTTTGGTCTGAGCCTTGTGTTTTGCAGTCAATACTTGCGGATGAAAGATCACTTGTGTGTATTGAGCTTGTCTGCCGTGGCAACATCTATACACTTATAGCAGTAGCCTCTAGCCGGCAAGTTATCCGTTGGTTGGTTGGCCGAATCCTACTTATACCCCATGTCTCTTTTGGTGCCATGTGTACACAGTCTATGAGATCCATATCAGCTTTGAGCCGGAAAGCACAATGGTAAGGGAAATATTGAGAGTGATGAACTTGAAATCAACCTGAGAATCGTACAAATCACACGTTTCTCGAGAGAAATTTCCTCACTTACGAACTCCCGTCTACTGGGGAGGTCATCTCAGGGACCCTTGCAGCTGAGGGCAGCTTATATTATATTCGTCGAAAAGTTGTAAACTGCGTTATATCCAATCCCTTCTAAACATTGTTGCGAATATTGTCGATTTCCCTATTCACCCGAACAGTTTCATGATAGTAATATCTGGCTACATTAACCAGGAAATTCCTCAATATGGTTCCAAGGCTACAGCCCTAATGCTTGAGGCTGTTAAAAATAGAGTATTTACTTGATCAGGTTATACAGGTGAAAGGGACGATTAATCAACTACCTACAGCATATACGCAAACAAGTCATTGTGCTAATTGGCCATAGATCGGAAAAAGGGCAAGGAAGAAAGAACAATCTACAGATACACCCGTTTACGTAGCAGAACTTTTAGGCTTCCTACGCTTATCACGAACGAAGATCTCTGTGGGTAAGCCAGTTCGTAAGGAGCGGCGGGTAGTTTCAAACAACGGGGAGGCGGTGATGAGATCGCTGAGCTTATGGTATCCATGGGTACGAGAGTCGAAGTCAGGATATTTTTTGTGAGGAGGTGACCTATGACAGAAAGCCTAGCCCAGCCATCGTCATCCGAGGCTGCTTCTACCGTCGTTCGCAACTGACTTGCTAAGCAGCTATCCTTTTCAGTCTGTCGGGTTGATAAATGGTTTTTAGGAACGATAGCACTGTCCGCATGCGGTACAAGCTCATCAATATGCACGAGATTTTCAGTGTAGATAAATTTGTCGCATGCCGCGACGAAGGGCTGGGGCGTTTTATGCTCCCCGAATCCGTAGACAATTGCTCCTGACTCGCGGATACGAGCGGCCAGCCGGGTGAAGTCACTGTCGCTTGAGACGAGGCAGAACCCATCATATCGGTTAGAATACAGAAGATCCATTGCGTCTATAATCATAGCTGAGTCGGTCGCATTCTTGCCGTGGGTATACGCGAACTGCTGGATGGGTTGGATCGATTGCTCAAGGAGCTTGTCCTTCCAGCCCTGCAAATTAGATGTCGTCCAATCCCCATATGCTCGCTTCGCATGAGCTGTACCGTATTTCGCTATTTCGGAGAGGAGGAGATTAATAACGGAAGACTGGGCATTGTCCGCGTCAATGAGAACTGCGAACTTGGGAACGTTATCACCAACCATGACTGTGGACGTGTATGACGTGAAGAGTCAGATCACAGCAACACTCGAGGCATGTTATCATCCCCATGAAATATTTCTGGGCTTTGCTATTGAGCGTATATAGCAGGTTCTCAAGAGTAATAGAGCCCAATATCATGACATCATTTGTTTAGCAAGGAGAGATATGAACGGCCAAGACCCATATCGATGACAACACCAAAGAAAATACGCGGATCTAGACCGCAGTTTCGGCATTAAGACGTATATAGCAGATTCTATCCAACATTAGACATTTAGAAAAGCTATTTCAGCTGCTAAGCAAGTCACGAATCAAAGATAACTTACAATAGATATGGTCCTCTGGGCGCGTTGATATGACGCGAGATTTGCTACATATCATTGTACCTGACCATGAATGCGAGAAACAATTTCATGGAATGCTTGTAATAGTCTCTTCGATAAGCAGACCCACCTGTCAAGCTTGACTTTGCACTCTGTACCAAAATTATGCGCTTTATACACTATTATTTGTTATTGCCATAGGAGTCGATAATAACAATATCTGTTGTGATAATAGAAATAATAATAATAACTACTACACGGTTAACCTCTTCTAATAAAACAGTTCTATATACATTGGTTCTCACCTTTTAACAATTTCCTGATACTACCTTATAGCATACTATCTTATCGATACTGGACGATGAGGAGGTCTACGAGACGACATGTGAGAAAACTGTATTATTATAATCCGGTTTGGTATATTATCTTGGAAATGTAGTAATGTACATGGCTGCGTATATCCCCACAAGTCTGATTATAATCGAGGTCATGAAAAGCTAAGCAAACGACCATGGATCCAGCGTCAACTTCACCATGTAAGTCTGGAAGGTTCGAAACGACGTAAGTGAACATACACATGCATCAACTGGCCGCAAGAATATATCTCAGAACAGCTCCAGCAAACATCTGGTTCAAGTGATCATCGTTTAATCCCCTCAGCAGGCATCTCCGCTAATATGTTCTCGGCTGGCATCTCGAAGCGAGGTTGATCCCTAGTTCCCATCTCATAAACCTCTGGTCCGCTGCCATACAACTCTTTCCGGGGGCTTTGATCCAGCGGTGGGATAGCTGATGCGTCACTCTGCCATGCCAGTCGAGAACTACTCGCAGCTTTTGCTTTCCGATGTCTTAGGGTGAGGAACCATGCAAGACCAGCAATCAAGCCCACACCGGCGACGCAACCGACCACCACGCCGGCAATGCCGCCGCCGGATAGGCTTTTAGATGCACCGGAGCTCTGTCCAGTCGTACTGGGGGTGGAAGTCGATGAGGTGCCAGAATCCGCGACGTTGTTTCGTTTCTTAAATAAATCTTCCATGCTCGTACTATTGAATCCACTCTCGGGCGAAACTACTGTTGCTCCGCCAGTTTCACTATCAATTGGTTAGTATCCGTGTCTTTGCATAGGGAAAGTTGGAGGAACGAAGTTGACATACCTCCCACCAATGATGTCAGACACCTTAGAAGGGATCTTATACGCATCGCTGTAACTTGCATTATAGTTAGACAGCCACGAGAGAGAGTGGAGGTCGAAGATGCTATCCCATTAGCAAACGTAGCGCTGTCGCAATTCTGCGGTAACGGGTCATATTCTCGATCCGTGACTGGGGTATTGCCTCCAACCACAATCATGGTATTATTCTGAGGGCGTACACATTTGTGTTTGATACGAATGCTGTTATCGTCTGTAGCCCGAATCCAGCGGAATGAGGGCACTGAGAGAACGTAGACATTGCCATCTGACTGAGCTGTCGTGTTTGCCATTCCGCCGAATACATAACTTGAATGTCGGTTAGTATACAGACAATCATTGTTGGTTGAATAGCAGGCCAGATGGCTTACATGGAGTATGATGATAGATCCTGGGCAGGAGCAACAACTGTACAGCCTGACATTCGCCAGCCGGGAATATCGCCCGAAGTTTGTTGAGTGTACCATTTCTGCTCCGCGATGTCGTAGACACGCACCATTTCCATTGAATTCTGCAGACATTAGCGATGACATAAAACAGGGCTAGGTTTCATACCCGATGAATTGTTTCATTTTGCCGGTAGGCCAAATATGAAAGTGTCTGGCCAACTGGGTATTTATAGCCGCCAAAAGCTACTATGACGCCCTCGTCTCCCGCCGATTCAAGCAGGCTCGTATACCCGTCGCCTATGGTCCCCCATTCATTCATATCTGCAGTCGATGCGTTCGTCCATTGCAATGTATCCATATCGAGAGTAATTAGCCCCGGGTCCATGTATACATCTGCCCCCTCGGTGCCGGCAAAGCTCGGGTTGCCGCCTGGGTTCAGGGAGCCACCGAGGTAATAGGCCTTGTTCGAAGACTGAACTGCACCTCCCTGACAGAGACGTACAAGGGCGGCACCCGAAAACCCGCTATGGGTCCATTCGTTGGATACGATGTTATACTTCCATGTTCCGAGAGGAGGGACCGAAGGGCCATCTACTCCACTGACATAGCCGCCATAGAAGAAGAGGTTTTCTCCATCCGACCAGGCAGCTCCCTCATCCAGATATATCGCAGTATGGTTCGCGAGGGGCTTTGGGATGTATGTGTACAGATCGGAGTCTGAGTTGACCCAGGACTTGGTAAGATCGATAGTTTCAAGGTCGTCAACTGTTGGACGTTAATTCAATGTCGTAAACAGCGACGGGAGATTCGCACTTGGCTTCGTAGTGATCGTGTCATTCGGCCACCGGGTGTGCATTTCACCGCCATCGATGTAAATCTTTCCATTGCTGACGACGGCTGAGCAGGACGTCAGTTCGGCTGTTGCAGCAGGAGTGGCAACCGCGACGTACCAGAATGGAATATGCGACTGCAGTTTGTCTCCGCCGCGAGGGCATACTGCGTTATTGTAAATAAAAAGAGGGTGAATAGAACTACCCCGGCCATAGTGAAGTTTTCAACGCGGATAGCTATAGTCACCGCAGGAGTCCTTGGCAATCGCAGGAGTTCACAAGCCAGGGGTTTATCGTCCCAGAGATTTGAATGTGAGGAGAGCCTCGCAACAATGTGGGTACAAATCATGGCGTTAAGGTGCACCCCAGTGAGGGTCAATGCTGCTAGATCAGAAAAAGCCTTGGGGCGGTGCTCCGGACGTGCATGAAGTCTTGAGTCCCTAGTCTTTACACGGAATAGTTTAGACCATGTTTACACCTACAGAACAAGAGTACAGAACAAGATTGGTAATTGTCGGTTTCGGTTGGGAAAACTTGGATGATAGTCTTTTGTGAAAATTCAGATCTCATCAATGCAATGCCATCCGATTCAGCACCCCATCAATTGGGGTTGGCGACTCAGTTCTCATCTCTGCACGCTAACATACCGAGTGCGATTGGTGACGCGCGTTGAGAAAGATAATAGCTCGGAGAAGGATGATCAGAAGTCTGACAGGATTGGTTATTTCGTCTAATCGCTCTCTAGACTATCTTTAGGACGTAACATGGGGGGGGCCAAGGTGCTTCTCCGCACAGTCCCTCATCGCGGTTCGTTGGTGCATTCCTCCATGACCCATAATAAACTGCGACTCACACACAGTCTTGGCGGACCTACTTGCTTTCAGCCTCGTGGAAAGGAGATCTATTCTGGGTTTCCAGTGTACGAGTTGTGGGGCAGAGGAGAGAGCAGAAAAGTACCACCCGCGATCGACGGGGAGTAATGATGATCAGCTGAGTTGGCATAGGAGCTCCACGGAGGAACGTCTCTGGAACATCAAATCGGCCTAAGGAGTACTAGTAGTATCTTAGCATATGTGAATGGGTCGAAATTCCTCTCCAGTGTGCCTGACGGAAAGGTGCTTTCTTATCGAAGCAGAACGACGTTTAAGACTGTTTAGCTTCATGGTACTCGGTACTCTCGCTGGAATATATTGATCCGTGCATACGCCCAAGACTGGACAACCATGCACAGCTATGAACGGCCTCTCGATTGGTTGGTGAGGCATGGGGCTCGGCGTCAGTTTGCATGAAGCCCGCCAATGGAGGAGATGTACCGGGATAAATCACGGTAATCACCCCCAACTAGCACTGCTCTGGAGTCCTTGTCTGCAGCAGTTACCGCTAGTAATCCTCTTTTCCCTGGTTCAGCGTAAGGCTTGGGAATAGTCTAAACTGACAACCCCCATGCAGATTGCAGACATCTGGTTCATTTTTATCTTGACATTGCTACAAGGCCTCTCCACTTTCAGTTGAGAAAGTGTCCTAATGCTTAGGTCACTGAGTCTTGTGCAACGCTCCCAGCTCTAGCCCTGACTATCCTGACTACGCACAGACGAGGCAGTCAAATTAGTGTCATCTGGAAACATAGGAGTAGAAAAGGGTGGATTGATTTCTCAGTGAGGACATTGTCCGAGGAAACTAGCCCGTTTATCATGCGTCCTGCAAATTTTAGGCGGGGACACTACCAATCAGCCTCCCAGAGTCCAGACCGATAAAGAAAACTTTTCTATGTGAGGTCTCACGGACCAAGCCGACAAGGATATCACAAGGACACCCGAGTAGAACTGGGGCGCCATGCTGACAGGTACAGTACCTCATACATGTGTACCTCTTGTTTGTACCACGTAGGACATCAAGCCAGTCCTATTTGCCCACGAGGTTGCTCTGTACTGCATGATTCAGTATCGGTATGAACGGAAGGCCCCTGGCGAAATCGGAGAGTGGTAATGACCCACAGTGTTCCACAACCTCACACCCATTGGATCACGGTGTTGGGTTGGTGCCAGGTACCGTTGATCTTGACTGGTTCTAGTTTTTGCAATTTTTCTTTTTCCTTGGCTCTGTTGGTCTGTCTTTCCTTATTTCTTTTTTCTTTCTTATTTCTTTTTTTTCCCTAGAGCAGTTTGTTGTGCATTTGCCTACTATGCGTTCTTTATAACAGGGAATGGGGATGTAGCTGGCTCCGCCTTAAGCACTCTGCTCAGGGTTTGATATCCCACGTTTCCCACCCCACGGCAAAGACGAACAGGACACTGAAAACTTTCTAATCAGTTGGATTTGGGTGGTTCCACGAGGCTGTCCCACCGTAGGAACATGGCTAAAAAAATTAATTTCCCCAATCTGAGGAAGTCTCCATATTTCCGTGATTATTCAGCGTGGTTTATCAGACCCTAAACCAACCAGCGAACGAGCCAAAGGGTCCACTAAACCTCATCAATGAAGAATCACCCCCCTTGGCCATTGATCTTGTTTCATAATTGGCTGCAAAGTATCGCCTTTGGGGCCTCAGCTTATCTGCTGATTGCGACATATCCACCATGACAGTCCCCCAGACCCTGAAGGGTCTGACCTTCCACCCTCTCTATCTGTCTGAGCCTGCTCCGACAGCATCTCTGCCATGATTCCGTTGCCACAGCTGCTTAAGCGCCGGTACATCTTTCTGGTCGTCTCGGGTATCGTCCTCCTCGCCATCGTCAACGGCTTGTACCTGAACGTTCTCCCCGTCCCGAGCGTCATTCGCGGCTCTGCGGAGACAGCAGTTGAACGACCCGACCTCAACGAGGCTGCGCCGCACCCGATCGATGGGTTAATTCGCGACGCCCAAGCGAAATGGGATCAGCTCCTGTCGAAGCGCGTGGATTCCCTAGCTGATGCAACGAAGCAGTATCGAGAGCGAAGAGGCCGCCACCCGCCGCCCGGGTTCGATCAATGGGTTGCCTTTGCAAAGCAAAAAGATGCAGTACTTATCGAAGACCTGTTTGATCAAATATACGATGACCTGAGTCCATACTGGGGGTTGGACCCTCAAGTGATTCGGCGCCATGCAACGCACTGGGATCCTCGGATTGTTATACGCAACCATACACTGTCTTCTGTCGGTCATACTGGCGTCAACTGGCTCGAGGTCTGGATGGATTTGATCTCGACAATCCAGGAATTTCTCCCTGATATGGACATCCCACTAAATGGTCTGGACGAGCCGCGGATCATCGTCCCATGGGAGACTATCTCAGAGTATCGTGCCAAAGACCGCGATGTTCAGCAACAATTGGATCCGAAACAAACCGTTAATCAGTATATGACTTTGCCAGCGGAGGAAACGTCTGCGGAATACTCGCCGCCCGCATTCCAAGGAGCTGACAAGCCATTCTGGGACATCATGCGCGGTGCGTGTCCTCCCGAGAGCCCTGGCCGCACCAGCAATATCCGAAAGGTCGATTTTGCCAACCCGCCGGCCGAATTCTTCAACTACCGCAATTCCTTCTCTGAAAATGGATTTGTGAAAGACTTCGAGCGCTCGAAGGACCCCTGTTGGCGGGCGGAACTGCAGGCCTTACATGGCAGCTTCATCGAACCTACCACTACGTCTACCACGCACGAGCTGATCCCATTATTCGGGGGCTCCAAGCTGACCGTTAACAACGAGATCCTGATCCCACCGGCGGTGTACTGGGAAGACAACCCTACTTATTCTGGTGGGAAAAGCAACCACGGCGGCCCGTGGGCCAAGAAGAAAGATATCGTTTTCTGGCGCGGAATTGCAAGCGGCGGCCGCAACCGTATCGACACCTGGACGGGCTACCAACGACACAGACTGGTATCGATGCTGAATGGCACAGAGGTCGCGCTGACAAACGGGACGTCGCATGGGATGAACTTCCGTCTACCCGATTTCCAGTACTATCAGGTCACGGCGGGTCTGGAGGGCACACTGCCTGAGTTTCTGAATGAGCATTGTGATCTGGGATTCTTGGATCTCTGCTGTTTTCCGCACGAGGATGATAGCCCACATTGCTCTTATACCGATGATTACTTCAAGATCGTCCAGGGAATGCCCATGAAGGAACAATACTCTTTTAAATATCTGCCCGATGTAGATGGCAATTCTTTTAGTGGACGTTACCGTGCGTTCCTCCTTTCAACGTCCTTGCCTCTCAAAGCAACGGTTTACAAGGAATGGCACGATTCACGGTTGATTCCTTGGGCGCATTTTGTGCCGATGGACTCCCTATATATGGATGTTTACGGAATTTTGCAGTATTTCATGGGATACAAGGGACGTCGTAGGCATGACAAGGAGGCAGAGAAAATCGCTATGGATGGTAAGAGCTGGGCTGAGAAGGTCCTGCGCCAGGAGGATATGCAGCTCTACGTATATCGCCTGCTTCTGGAATATGCACGACTTTGTGATGATCACCGGGACAGTCTCGCCTTTGTAGGAGACTTAATGAATAGTTAATAATAGATAATGAACTTTCTTTCTGTTTATCTCATATTGTTAGATCGTTGCATTCACGCAGCTTCCAAGTCTCATGAAACTACATCACGGCGTGCAATATGGCAAGCTGCCTATAGATGTTTATTTTTCAGATGAAACTGAGAACACCAGCTCTGAAGTCAGTCAATAAGTATCCTTCTATGCCAGTCAGTGCTTCCATAAGTCTAGATGGCTCATATAGCGAACGATTCTTGAAGTCCCTCAAACAGGGAACAGTCTTCTCATCAGGTCGTCTGCCGAATAAGATCTTGCACTTTGATTCTATTATTCCTCCTATGAGTAATGGCATCTGTATCTGCTTCTTGAGAATATACGCAAATTCTGAGCTTGCTTGAGCTCCCAAATTATATTTAAGCCTTATCTTCAACGTGTGCGTCCCTCAAGGCCATTGTACCCTCATGTGGATAAAAATATTCAATCAACCCTAAACAACACAAAATGCAGTCACTACCCTTGATCTCAGGTCCATAGATCCTTATAAACCATTATTCAATTCAAACCCCTGAACTCAAAAGATCCTCCGGCTTCATAATCCCCCTCCTCAACATCTCCACCACGACGGGCCCACTATCGCTATAGATCTGGAAGCTCTTAATCTTAATCCCATCATGCTTAGCAGTCCAATCCTTAACAAAATTAAACCGAAACATGCACCCCAGTCCCAAGTCCCAACGCCTGCCATCCAGATCTATGCCTTTCTTAGTATCACCTTCCTTCGTCAGATCAATGAAGAGGGTGGCCTCGCCGACAAACTCCCACCCATCCACCTTCTCCGCAACACACACCCACTTCGGCTCATGGAAATACTCCTTGAACGCGCTGTAATCAGCCTTGCTCGCCTCCCAGGCGGTTTCCCCGCCCGTGAACCGCTCGCCATTTGGCTTGATGTATGTGTAATCGTCCGTGACCCAGTCCGACCAGGGCGTGGACCAGCTTTCGCGGGTATCCCAGGCGTCGTGCATTTTTCCATCCAGGCCAGGGCTGGATGGATGCGTGCCTGCGCCCAGCCTTTGGTTGAGCTTAGGAATACGGGGGTGGTGGGGAAGGACATCTTCTGTGGATTTTTGTACGGGTTTAATCGTTTAATTGATCGAGGGGAGTGTCATTCTTAAACGGATGGGAGTACCGTCGTACTCACGGGGTCCTGAGAAAAGTCATGGTTATATAGTGCACTTCCTATCGCAACGAAGGGTACAAAATATATTAATCAATTAAGCGGATCATAGCTACAGAGAGACCCCCAGCCTAGACCTAGCTGTCGTATAAAGTTCGATACGAGATTTGGGGTGGCGAGACGGAACCGATCTTCAGTGGACGATCGGTGAGCAAGTCCGCTAAATCGAGCCGGCTAGAATCTGATGAAGGTTTAAGCCACGGATCCGTAAAGCTTGACTTCATCCCATTCTGAACGGTAGGTCATATGCTCAGTACTGGATGAAGGGCTTGTGGTCATGGTTGTATTTCTCATAGTATGACATGGTGGTCTATATATAGGCCAAGGCTAACTTGCTAGTTAGTATAGAGAATTAGCATTTGCAAGAAGCCAAATAGTATTGGCCGATACCATAAACAATTCAAATTAACGTTAATCCTGCCGCTGCTCCTACGGACAGCCCTAGATCGTCCGCACCTCTCGCCAGCTGAATATCTCCAGTGAGCGGTGATACGTCGGGTGAAATTTCCAACCATAGTTTAGGTAGCATGTCTCCCAGCAGTCGTCTGAGCTATATCTGCTGGTTATCTTCGCCAGTTGATAGGCGGCCGGAGAGCCGTAGTCTAGAACATTGAACTCCGAGGTCGCAGACATCTGGATTAATGGACGGATATCGTATGACAACGACCAGCACAATATCATGCCTCCTACAACCATGCATTCGTCATCAAGATATAGATATAAACTGATGCTTGTACAAATGGACAGGTTCTAGAACCAAACTATGATACTTTCTACACCTTGCAATTTATAGAATTCTCACGAATATACAGTCTTCTTTTTGCCTTTATCTTTTTTTGCTATACCAAATTTGTGACCTTTCACTCGAACAGAAATATGCACTACGAAAAAGAACGACCACTGACGCCTCTTCATATCCCCAAGTTCAGAAGTATTTTCATGAGAAATATGGCTTTTTTGACTCGTCTCCCGTTGTTCTTCTGCTTCATATTTGCCAACTTTGCCATCGAGTTCACTGCCCCCGGTAATGCTAATATCGAAATCTTTTATACCCTTATGAACAAACACGATGCTGGGACAGACGGGGCCGGTAGCGATAGTTTTGCCCCTCTGGAAGCACAGCTTAAGAAGGTCCGCTCAGCGAGGACATGGCACGAAGATACTCATTTTTGACAGAACTAATACACGCAATCAACACTGCTGTTGGAGCGCCAGGAGCTGTGACTAGCACCCCTTCAATTACGAGTACCCTCGTTACTGTCGGAAACGCCCTTGGTGCATTGGTCGGATTGTGTGCTGGAGCGGTTGTTGGGGAATCAATTTTCTTCGCTCCAACAGCACATATCCTTAGCTATGTCCGCAGTTTTAACACACTTACTATGTTTATTTCAAAGACATTGGCTTTATACTTAACTACTTTGGTGTGCCTTGTAGTTAATAATCTGTGTCTAATATATTTATACAGAAACAGGCGTACACTGTCAAGTTGATTACACTTTTATTAATACCAAGGTTATAATCATGTGCTACTGCTGCACAGTCTAGCTCAGACGTCTTTTGGTCACTATGTACTTGGCGAATTCTAGGAGTTGGAGTGAGACTGGAGTAGCAGCAGTTCTATTCTGCATGATTCCACAGAATTTCGAGGAGCAGGGTCTTGATAAATTAAGCATAGTGTTCGAAGAAGATCGTGCATACTATACACAATTGCTCGCTTGACTAGTCATTATATGGTAGTGATATTTGCCACTAGGTAAACAGGTTAAAATTCCCCTCCAGCCGCAGTCTTACCAGTTATGAGCCTGCGTCGGATACCAGTCTATTGTTGTCCAATCTGACTGGTTCACTTCGGCGTCCATTGTCACCTGTCCAGGTATATCAGGATAGCCCCTGAACTCCGGGTTTAGAAGCCCGTAACCTTCCATACCGTACAGAAAGTCATGGCTACCAAAGTCAGTCGGCATAGTCATTGACAAATGGCCCGTGTTCGTATTCAATCCGCCCTTGGACTGTCTTGAGTTGCTTCCTAGTGTACCTGCCATCGTCTGCGCGACCTCTTTGATCCTTAATACAAACCCGGGCGGCTGAAGTGGCTTGTTTACCTGTCTGTATACCGCCTCACGCGCCTCCCAGGCCTCGAGCACAATTTTACCGAAGAAGTCAAAGAATCGATTGACCATTTGAATTTCCTTGGAACGAGCTTCGCAGTTATCGTTCATAGTCTTCCAAATCCTGTCTGCGTGCTCCACCGTTGGCCTCTTTCGCAAGTCTTTCAGAATATAAATATATGCGGGAAACGGGAAGTGGAACTCTGTAAGCCAAAGATACCCCTTCGTTAGAGGAGAGGTCATAAGCTTTGTATCGCACTCAATGACGCTTAAAGCGTAGGAAATAGCGATATTGCGCTGCTCATCTGTCTGCGGCACGGAAGCATATCTCGAATAATATTCCAGGAGGCGGTTCTTGGCAAGTTGGCCTCGCGTCGTCCATATAGTCATGAAGTGAAGCGGGTTCTCTGGATTGCATAATCTGAGGTATCTATCCTCTATCATCTGCTCAAAGGCTAGCTGCCTATCTCCTTCTGAACCACCGCCGTACGGGGTATCTTTAACGATAGCCTTCAAGGAAGGGTTCGTAAAGTCGAGATGGAAAGCGCTGCGGCGCATGAAGTCGCTCACTTGGCTGCGTACGACAGTGAAAAGAGCCTCGGTGGGTTCATCGTGACCTTGTGGCAATACTTTCATTTCGGGCCGGATGTCGAAGTCATTCACGTTCAAGGGAGCCCTACAGTCCCAAGTGGGAATAAGTATGGTGGTCTTGTAGTCTGTAACCTCGGAGATACGATGGTCGAAAATAGTTAGCGACCACCACAGCCTTCGACGCATTTCGCCCTCGAGAGCAGTGCATCTGGCATTGGTTGCCTCGTTGTCCAGACCCATACGTTGTGCGATGCGGATAGCAATACTAAGCATTGAGGATACAGATCTAGGGTCTGTACTAGGTCTGACTGAGACCTGTGAGAATTAGAAGGGTTTAGGCAAGATCGCCACTTGGTGCGCTTACCAGGTACAAATATAATGCTGCCAGGCACTCAACACTACTGGTACGGAAAACCCCACATTTCAGTAGAGCTTGTTGGCATGCGAATTGGTACTTTTTCAGAAGATTCTCCCTCGGTGTCCGAAAAATGGCATGGCATTCGTCTTCGCCAAGGCTCATTATGGATACGCAATATATACTGAACATTATTGCTTCCAATGTCGGACTGATATTTGCCACGTCGCCCGCAGCATCGATAATGCGAGGTTGCAGAGTGGGAGTGTGAGTAACTTTAAGCAAAGGGTTCACATTGTCCAAGTAAACCTGCCACAGCCGGAAAATCTGGACCTGATCTGGGTGCAGAGTTGAGATATCGACATTTGTGCTACATGAACCAAATAGAAAGTCTTGCTCATTGCCCTGATATACCTGATCCCACGTCTTTTTAACCACAGTCTCCCGCAGATCGACCTGGGGGTGGTTGCTATCGTTTCCATCGGTGTCGTCCCCATCATTGTCCTCCCCATCACTAGGATTTAAAGACTTTTTTTTCGCATTGTCAGTGGAACATCAACCCACTGGTGTTTATATGCATACCATTTGATTCATGAGAAACCAGAAATTTCTGAAGGGGGTCAGCCATTTAGGAGTATGTATTTCTAGGGCAAGCCTCACTTGGCCTCGTTTGAATATTCACACTTTACTGTTTTCTTCTCGCTTGACAGCTGATCCGTCCCCACAGTGGACTCTACTATTTTTCCCGGGGTTCTAGATCCTCTGGGATGCTCGCTTTGACACGGGCTTTCTGCAGCAGGTGCGTGCAGCGGGTCGAATGGGATATTGTTCTGACGGAGCAGGGCCTCATAGCGCCGCAGACGCTCCAGCAACTCTCGCTCGGGGAACCTACGACGCCGCTGGCGCGCACCAGCAGCAGGAATGCACTGGACGCCAGCTCTGGTGCAGTTGAAACACGGAAATTCACGATTACACCTGACCTTGCGCTGCTGGCACAGCACGCAAGAAAGGACCCGTGGTGGCCTCGTAGCGGATCGCGGGAACTCCCCCGCCTGAGAATAGGTAGTCGTGGACTCCTGCGTCGACATTATTTCCGGTGTATTCGCCGGGCGATTGAGAATCCCACTCTAGCAAGGACCGATAACACTGTTAGGGGTGAAGATTTGTTGTGACATAACCCACGGACGATACGTGTGAGACATCTCGGGCTTTTACAGCCGTTCGAGAACGTCCTTTCGGGCGTCTCCATCTCCCGATCATTTATCTTTCTCAGACAAACAGATCAAACAAAAGAGACATCCAAACAATCTGGCGAGATCCTCGTTCCCCTCACTCACATCTTCTCGTCACACGCAGCCTTCGCTTACACTCCTTTGACATCCAATAGAAGGCTGCAGTGGCTATGTAGAAAACTAACCTTGGTGGGCAATTTTGTTTTTGTTTTTTTGAGTTCTGCGATTCGGCTCAATTCATGACAAACAGCTAACTAGGTACAGATAGCCCCAGGAATTTAGAGGCAGAATGCTGCCGCCTTCGCCTCTTCGAGAGATTTGGATCCAGATAAGATCTGCGGTTGGTAGCCAGACTCGGCTTGTTTGCAGCTGTTCTGAAACTTCTCTACTTGATCTATCTGGATAACGCATGAATCTTCACCGCAGAACATCCCACCGCCGTTTTCACAAATTTGTTTCTCCTCTTCTCCATAGATAATCGGGTAGTTACCAGTTCCCGGCT